AAATTAGTCTGATGGATTGATATGTCAGCATCATGTATGTCTTCTTATAACATAATTATGAACAAGTGTTAATCATGTGAACTTTTGGTAGTATGGTAAGCACGTTACGTTCGGACTAAATAATATTTGTTTGAGTTTTTAAGCGTTACAGATATGTTCATAATTATATATAGAATTTATTTTATTTATAGAAATGTCAAATATTCAATTTAAATACTTTTACATGAGATGTATAGAGATAACAAACAATATTCAAGTCCATTAAACAGTACAAATTTTGGATCAGAGCAAACACGGACCTCTAAAACATCAGAGGTGGGATCAGGTGCCATGGAGGAGTGAGCATCCCCTGCCGACCGGTCACACTCGCCGTATGCTCCTTGTCATGATCGGGAAATAACGAAAAAAAAACCGACAAATTCAGTGTGTAAATAATGGCCTAACAATTAGTATGAAAAACGTCTGTCAACATTTCACTTAATGATAAATTGTATTTGCTGACAAGGTCATTGTATCGACCATAGAACTTACGAAATGACTACTTTAAACGGGACTGCTGATATTCTTGTTTCATCAACTTGTTTGTCAATTACCTACCTCGTTTTAGAAATTGTTCATACGCAGAGCATGCTATTGGTATATCAATTCAACAAACGTACATTTTTTCCCCGATGGTTAATATATTTATCAGAAATGGGGAAAATGCGATGAACTATTACGGAATTGAATCCCGAGCGCTCAAAGTTCTAGATAATTGCTTTCAGCGATCAGATCACTGGTAAACAAATTTACATGTACTTCAACGCCATATTCATCCATCCATAAATGTCTCCATTTCCGAGGACACCAACTCATGCATGCCATGTCATCGCCTACCCCCCCCCCCCCCCAGCCACCCACCCACCCACCCACAGCGATATGACACTACCAAGTAACAGGAGGACAAATGGAAAAAAAATGCAACAAAAAATTACCATACAGGCATTGTAAAAATGCAACATACCCGTGAACACAAAAGCATTTTAACCCTGGCTCCTTGAGCTCTAGACATGACCTAACTCAACTATCAAGTCACCAGCAAAGAATCTGCCTGACCGCCATGATTATATCTTCAAGTATGTTTTTATATACAATGCAGTTTTGTCTGTATGTTACAAAAAACACTTACGAAGAAACATCCCACTGAGGACTTAGCTGATTCCGAAAATATTTAAGGAATAAATTTAATAGCTATCCTATCCAAGTTATACTGTATAACCTGGGTTGGGGCAGTTTACGCTTTATAAACCGCGAATTAAGCGGTTTATAAAAAAGCGTAAACTATTCCAACCCAGGTTATACCACTATAACTTGGATAGCTATTAAATTCATTCTTTATAACTTAATTTCCATCATTAAGTGTAGAAAAATGCCTTCAAATTGTACATATTTTAAATGTGACGTCAAGTGGATTGATACGTTTTTGACGTAAGTCATTGTGACGTAGGCAACACAGGTCATACGATATAAACTAACTTTTTTATCCAATTAAATGACGCGTTACAACCAAAATCAAACTATAACCAATTTAAACTGTGCACAACATAAAGACGAGATAATACTTGCAAAGCTTGAATGTATGGATATAGTTTAATTAACAGTGAATCTCAAATAGAGATGATTAGAGGGAAGAGTTATCTTTTACAGAAAACATGACATATTGTCGAGTAAGCATATATTTTCGAGAGGGGGGGGGGGGGATTGGTACAATCCTGTGCAAAGGACATATAAATAGGATATCTTCTAGACATTTTAAATAATGATAGTGCGTCGTCTCTGGAAAGTGCGAGAACATACACTGCATGGATCATTTTCCTAGCGACACTAATTTTTCCGTAGCAGTAAATGTGTTATTAGATATGGGAGACAGACCCTACAGTGTATGAAATAAAGTAAAACCATTTCGTCGACATAAAGATTATATTAGACTCCAAGACGCGCACAGCAAGATATCTGAGTGTACGTGGGGATGTTTTTATTCTTGTCTTGCATGATTTCCTTGCATTCTGGTATCTACTTTCCTGGTGGTTATTTGTTTTATCGGATAAGTATTATGAAATAAAACGTAGGGTTCTTTTTTACATTATAACAGGTAAATGTAATCTTACCGACTTTTGAGATCTTATTTTTAAAGTGACTTATCCACTCTATTCTTAAATAACATTTAATTTCTACGTTTTGTGTTGTACTTTGATAAAGTTAGCTATAATTTCGAGTAGAACAAAGATTAAACTCAAGCTACAAATCTTTACAAGTCAAGTATACAAAGACTTCAAGACACTGTAGCACTGATCAGTCACATATATGTAATTTATCAGTAACGCACTTACTTCAATGCTGATGGGTGATTGTGAAGGAGATAATTAAGAAACCACATTAATAAAATTGGCCTATGTTTATGTCACTCGATCTGACCATTTAAATTTCATTTAAATATTTAATATTAAACACATACTCATCTGCTGACAACCATCCCAGGGAGAAAATTATCTCCGAGTAGAACGTAATTCTGAGTACCCGCTATTTAGAGTACTCTTTAGAGTATTCTTGTTCTATAATAGGTGACTGCTCTATTAACTATTCTATAGTTAAGAGCCTAAAAGTTCAAAGAATGGAGTGTGATCACACAACTGAAAAAAGAACAGACAAGAAAATCGGATGTTTTATGCGGAAGTTAACAATGATAGACCTCAATCCTTATGTAAAGATAGCAACCGCTGTTGCGCGAAGGCTCTTTTTAGTACATACAGACATTAGATATTTTATTTCTTTCTGATTTCATTTATGAACATTTGAAAGTTACGAAGTCATGATTTGGTAGTGTGAATAATGGTCTATCCCAACCCCCACCCCATAAAAAATTGGACAAAAAATAACAGAATTACCTTTTACTTTTTTGTTCGAAACATATGGCCACTTTAAAATACAAAATGGAAAACAACAAATGTTTTTACTTTTCAAGGAGTATCAAAATTGCTTTTGAATGGTACTTACGTTGCTATTCGTATGGCAAATACATGTAGCTACATGTAAGAGCCAAGAAGTTCAAAGAAATCAATGGACAAAATGAAGTATGATCTCACAAAAAGAGCAGACAAGAAAATTGGATGTGAAGTTAACAGTGATAAATCAAAATCACATTGAATTGGAAGACGTCGTTATATGACGTCATCAAAAGATTTTTTTCGATATACACGATTTCCCTGCAAATTGAAATTTGCCCCTAAACTGATATAGTATAACTTGACAGTGTTTTACGCAGTTATTCTGATTTCCCCTTATATGGATTCATTATAGGCTAATTTTTGACATGGGATATAGATGTTATTAATGTAATGAAACTTGTTAAATAACGGGAGTTATATTCAAGTTTCCTCTCAATCATAATGCTAACACCTTCTCTTTAGGAAGTCAATGTTTGCCTGGCTAGGGAGAATGTAAATACATTGGCAATCTACAACACCATTTCCTTGGGGACATTTACATGACCAGTAATACGCCAAACGAGCGTTCAGCTTCTACACTTAATGTTGCCAGAAAGTGAGTAACAGTTTCTAAATTTTTACCAAATTCCTTTTTCAAAATGATCGAAAAGAAATTACAATTTAAAAAAAAAGTAATTTAAAATGGGATTTTTCAACAATAAACACCTAATTGATTCTTTCAGATCTTTTTTTTTTAATTTACAATTTTTTTTTATCATGAACTTAAAACAAGCTTCACTGTTATAACAAAACTTAATATCTTAATTAAGTACCTATTTACTTTGAAATGTTATACAGCCTAAGGATTTCTTATAGCTCAGAGATTTAATATACCATATTATTATTGTTTAATTATCATTCCAGTGTATGTCGTTGTGAATATATATTTGGTTTAGGAAAACTTCTGAGGCGTGTAGTAAGTTCCAATACACGCACAATTTGACAATCACAGTAGAAAAATTGCAAAATATAATATTTTGATATCGATATACCCGAAGGCCAATATGTCATTGGCAAAAAGTCATTTCTACTCTCTACAGTAAAAACATGTTAAGGCAATTTAATTTAAAAGAATTCTTTCTGAATTCCACCCTATGTTTAAACTTACAACGTACTTTAAGTGATAAGGTACTTTCATCAGGGACAAACTGCAAGCTTAAATGTCAATTTCTTTTTGTAATTTTAATGTTGCAACTTTTATTTTTCACTTTTTTATATTTTGAAGATGTATAGCATTTCACAATTGCTTTCCAATAGAAAAAAAAAACTTTTAATTACTTTGTTTTTAAATTAAGTAATACACGTACATATAGCAAAACTTTAAATGTTAAATTTAGATAAATAAATAAATAATAGAGTTCTAAATCTAGCTGGATATTATCAAATGATTAATTTTGATTTCACATTTGCCTGAAGACAAAATCTTTTCAAAGACAGTCCCTGAAAAAGGTTTGCTTTTTTTTTAATTAAGAAGGTTTCAAGAAAAACGGGGAAATACGCGTTAAGATTGAAGAAATATCTTTAAGTCTGTGTTACAGATGTAGAAAAGGACATCATATCTGTCTGTAGAAATTTTGTCGGCAACAATTAATACTTGAACTACTTGTACAACTTCATAGATTGATAATCTTAAGTCCAAAAATATAGGGGGATAAAAACGATATCTATCTTGAATTTTTAAAAATAAAAAATAAAAAAGTGAGTTGTTATACCAATAATATACAGTAGTACAAATGTTCTACCCATAGACTTGAATTATATCAGATATGTAAATTTAGTGGTGTTTGATTATGCAAACTTGAGGTTTAAATTTATGAAAATAAAGCAAAAAAATAAATTAATTAAAAAAATAAAATATATAACTTTCATTAATGCTTAGTGAGAAGCAAAATTGCATCAAAATCTGTTAAATGCAAATAAATGAAGAAGTAGGAATCCATTATAAATTACTTTTTCATTTAAAAAAAAACTACTCACTTGTGTTATCTTGCAAGCTTGTGACCGGGTCAATGGGAACAGGGGTGCACACGGTACAAAAATTACAAACACAAACACACAGAAGCCACACGTTCACAATGCACACATAAGACATGGTTCCTACTGTTCTAATGTTTCAATCTTTCATTTCATATTTATTCACACATTTCAGGTAGGCGTTAAGCACATCGAATCCCATCCACCCCGCGAACGATGGTACTTGCTATAAACCAATGAAATACCTGGAATTAGACATTCAATTACTATATGTCGATATCTGTTTGGCAGAATACTTTGTTTTCATGACCCTTGATGAGAAGTCGATATCAAGGCGCGGTGATCCACAACAAAATCTATGGGGTGTTCCAAAGGAATGGTTGACTTGTAGAGATTTAATTCTTAAACCGTGACAGATTATAGATCAAAGCAAAAGTGCTACAAGAGTCACCCACTAATTTCTCGATACTGCTATATTTAATGGCATTGCTGCGTATGGTATTGTTACCGGAATATTTCCGAAAATGAAGGTCACTGTTTAATTCTACAAATTTGACATTCACTGAAGATCTTTAGATGTGACGTTCCAAGTTCAGTGCAAGGCGTTTGACAATGCGATTTGTATCATAATTGCAGTTGGTAGTAATGAAGAGGGTCAGTCCTAGGGGGAGAAATTTGCGCTATTACATCAGAATCGGAGACAATACCGTAGTAATTATAATAACGAAATTCGATACATATTGAGGTTTTGTATTACAATTGTATGGTAATGGAGTTCTTTGCATGTAGTGAAGTGTAGGAATATTTTAATCAGTTCTAGAGGTTGCGCGAATCATTAACTGCGTGTACGTATTTTTAAACTACTTTTGAACATTAATTTGCAGATATGGAATCGAAAGTTTAAAGTGTTTTATAATTCAACAGTCGTAATCTGTAAAATCAGCATTGAAAACCCCTACCTTGTTTCTAAAAGTACAAGACTTAGAAATGAAACATTTAAGCACATTTTCTTCCAGTATTGTATATCGATGAAATGTTGATATTATGGCAACACTATAGCATATGCGATATAAAATGTGTTTTATCATATAGGATAAATCTGATGATGACGTCAGACAGCTTTAGCTTTTTTACCAATTTAAACTGTGCATTGTGAAAGCGGTTCATGGTAGCATTTGTAACTGCAATGGAGGTCACTACCTTGACCCCCCCCCCCCCCCTCCGCGGGCTCGTACCCGTGATAGAAACGAATAGCCATGAGGTGCTACAAATATTTAATCTTTATCATTAGTTACTGCTCGTATATAGTATCTATGACTTGTAGCGAACACATACGCTGGCAGGAAAGTCTACAAACCAGCGCACTTCCACAAGGGACAAGCAGGGATATCCACAACCTGCCATTGCGCAGCAACAAGCTCGGATGGCCACACATCTGTCCCTAACAACTCAGTTCTAAATCAGAAACACTGCCTCGGATGTCCGTAATCCAACACTCAAGAAAGTCCTCACATCTGAACTCAGGGAAGTCCTCACGTCTGAACTTGTGTACCTGACCAGGTACTCAAGTTTGACCCCTTAATGCCTTCCTTTATAACCATTGTCAATAAAACTCTATATACACGCAGCACCATAATAATACATAGTGTATTGAAATTTAAAAACTAAGAAAAAATACTAATTTCCCATAAAACTGGCAAATCTTCATAATATCTAGTAATGTATCACAGTGATTATAGTTGTACTTTATATAGTTATACTTTAATTTAAAATCAACTTCAATGAATTATTTATTTTAGTATTTATTGTAAGTAATTGAAAACGACTCTCGATAATACATTTTTTTTATGATAACTCTCTTAATAAAAACAAAAAATGGTCATAGAGCTTTCAGCCTCAAACTTTATTTGTTTCTTGTTTTAGATGTGACGTACAATTCACATGTACCTGATAAACACACACAACAGATGAAAAGTACAGAAAAACTTCTGGAAATTTAAAATCTCAAAACTTTTCAAACATCAATACATATGACTTTACTACGCTTTATACAATTATTCCTCACGCTAATTTTTGACATCAAAGACAACTGCTACGTTAATAAAAATGGATATCGTTTTTTATATTTTGTTGTTGGTCATCTACAAAAATACTTTTTTTTAATTATTCAGATTCTGGACCCAAGTACTCTGAAGTTGATAATTAAAAGATGCTGGAGTTCCTCACTGACAATGTCTACGTTATCTATGGAGGTCTTCATACAATCTGATCGTCGCTAATTCTGCTCCTTCATCAGTCGACTTGTTTTTATATTCCTATGGATCAGAATTCATTTAAAAAAATACTTCATGAGAAGAAGAAAGCTCTTGCTGTGGCTTTCAACTCAGCAATTAGAAACATGCATATCGTCGACGTTTTATCAATTAACAATAGTTACTTTCATTTATATGCTCGATATATTCCAGTATACTCGAAAAAAAGGCACTACAGAGTTTGCCACTTCTATTTCATGTTTGGATGTTTTACTTGCTAAAAGACGATAATGACCGTCTAAACTGTATAGCACACGGCTTCAGTTTTTTCCACCGTCATCTTCCCTTAATTATGTAACAATATTCCAACATCACCTGCATTTGGTGTTTTTGTCTCTCAACTGATTTGCTAAACAAGAGCATGTTCTTAATACGATCAATTTCATAAAAGGTGGACACCTGATCCCACCTCTGGCGTGTCCAGGGGTCCTCGTTTTAGCCATGTTTAATTTTATTATACTGATTGAAGAAATACTGAAAAAAATCATGTCCTATTTAAAATTCAGAGCATAAATCAAGCTGTGGTGAGCTGCTTGATTTAGGAAAAACACAGTGAGAGACATAAATCACATTCCTTAATCTAGTCGAATTACTTTTCAACCAATAGAAACAGCAAATTTTGAATTGTTTTATTTCTAGACAAACATTTCGAAAGAAAATCTTGTAGACATCATACCAGCTGCTCTATCACGCTCTTCTATGGTTAAAAGCATGCAACCCAGTTATTTTTTTTACTGCCTTTTTAATGAATTCAAACATAAAGAACACAATTTCAAAGAAGAAGTTGGAAATCTATTTCTCCAAAACGTGTGAGCACGATTTTCTATCAAATGATTATGCTTACTTTATCATTTATTTATTTACTAGTTTGGATATTGAACCTTACTTTTAAACATTGTTATATATTTATATACGAATTTTCTCAGTTTAACTAATCATAATAAAGGAAACATGCATGATGTATCAGGTAGACAGGGGATACATATCCCTCTATGGCACCTGATCTCTGAAGTTTTCAATTCTCAAAATTCTCTGCTTGCAATGTTTTCGTTGAAATGAACTTTTGAAAAATATTAATGTTGCTGTTTGTTATCTTCATATTTTATTTCATTTAAATTCTGACTTGAGGACTCTCTTTCAACCTAAGACCGCTATATGTGCAGAAACACATAAGCATAAACAACTTTGTATCCTAAACGTGTAAAACTAAGGGAGGTGCAAAGTAGATCCTCTCCAAACTTTTCCAGAGATAAACTTGTGGTACAAAGGCTATTGTACCTTCAAAACAAAGATTGATTAAAAAATCGTTTTGCTCCAACTTTTCAAGTGCTTTAAGGCTAATACCAGTTAAACTTTTTGCGTTTTGGAGATTCGTACTTAGGATGAGTTCTATATTGATAAGTTTAAACCCTTTGATTGTTCTATCTCTGAACCAGAATTCTCTGACGAAACTGAAGCTTTACTGGTAAGTAATTTGTGTATCTTAGTAGAGTGTACTTGCGTAGCAAGTCTTATTTGTTTGTTTGTTTGCTTTTCAACGTCCCTTTCGAGAGTTTTTATATTATATTGAGAGGCCACCACTTGCTGCTGGAGGGCTGCAATTTAGACCTGTACATGGCACTTACGGCAATTGAGCATCTTTTTCGTGCTAGCACCTTCTGCGACACAGGACCTCGGTTCACACTTTCTCATCAGACCGGTCATACAGTGGATTCGAACTCGCGACATAAGGAGAAACTTCATACTCCGCGACTCTAGAGCAAACGCTCTAACCCCTGCGACCAAGTCTTATTGAAATTAGACCAAAACTATAGAAAGAGTAGCATTCCGTTTATCCGATTTATGACAAGTAAAACAAGGCGGGTGTGACCGTTAGGCAGGGGATGCATGCTTATTAAAACCGATGTACAAAATCATGTATCTCTGTATAGTGTATATGTGTAGAAAGCCTTATTGAAAGCAGACCGAAACCGTAGGAGGAATAGCGTTTTCAAGAATTACTGAATCTCTGAAACCAAATGTAGATTCCATACTAAATGTTGACTGAGTTTTTCAAACAAATTGTTAGGCGATTATTTTTCACACTTAATTGTCGCCGAATATTTTCCGTTTATCCGATTATGACAAGTAAAACAAGGCGGGTGTGACCGGTAGGCAGGGGATGCATGCTTATCTGTGGCACCTGATTACACTTCTAATGAATTTAGAGGTCCGTGATAGTTCTGTTCCCAAATTGTATTGTTCCAGTGTACCTTTGAGCTTGATTACTGTTCTTTATCCTCATATTTCATACAGTAGTTAAAAAAAATATTAAATAATCGCTGGGGATTTGAATTAGTTCAGGTATTTCATAATATATATATATATATATATATATATATATATATATATATATATATATATATATATATATATATATATATATATATATATATATATATATATATATATATATATATATATATATATATATATATATATATATATATATGTATATATATATGTATATATATATATATATATATTGATGGCCTTTGATTTGGTGCCTCCTAGATAGGTTTATCAAAAAGCATCCCTAGCAGCTAACTTTATAGCACAATCAAATGCAGGGTACTTTTTAAGTGCAATTAGCTTCGAACTATACAAAAACATGCCATGAATGACACCACAACAGCGTGACAACATCAACATGTTAAGAATCCTGTTTAAGATATTAGCTTCCCAAGAACACAACCATTACTTAATCAAAAACAAACTTCTTCGATACCGGTATCAGTTTGCTCAAATTCACACTATGTCTCAATGTTTGTGTAAGCT